AAATCATATAGGATATCACAATGAGTACAGTCCAGTCTCAACTATCTTGTGCTGAGGTGGTCCATACACACATCAGTCTTATATTTTGCTACCAAGTGTGTTGTGTGCAGTCCTAGGGACTTGAAACTGTACCTACATGGTTGTAAGACCACCTGATATGCATAATGATGCCAAACATTCCTTTTCCTGTTCTGGATCCTTTTCTCAGAACTAAATAAGCTCATTGTTAAGTTAAAACTTCTTTATTCTTTTCCTTTGACTATCAATCCAAATCTGTTGGTGGCAATACAGAAATATAATACATATTTATTGTAGAAAATAAGAAAATTCAGAAAAGTGTAAAGAAGATAATATCACTTGTAATATCACTTTAAAATAATCACAAATAGGGCGCCTGGGTGGCTCAGTTGGTTGGGCGACTGCCTTCGGCTCGGGTCATGATCCTGGAGTCCTGGGATAGAGTCCCACATCAGGCTTCCTGCTCAGCAGGGAGTCTGCTTCTCCCTCTGACCCTCTTCCCTCTCGTGCTTTCTATCTCTCATTCTCTCTCTCTCAAATAAGTAAATAAAATCTTTAAAAAAAATCACAAATAACTTTGTGGATTGATGCAATTCTAAAGTTTTTATAAACATGAATGGTGTTTTTTATGAACCTGAGATAAGAAATTGTATAATGTTTAGTACTGTGCCTTTTTCCTTTGAAAATATATCATGAACATTTTCCCATATTTTCATATATTGTTGATTTAATGATATGAAAAATATGTATACATGGCTTATAATTATATAAAGTTACATTGGCACCCTAGTAACTGTTTTAAGTGGTCTGCAAGATGTATATGCTAACCTTCAAGATGATCAGATTCTGTGTTTGGATACTTAAGCAACAATAAAAAAATTTTTTTAAAAATTTCATCCTTAGTGGCACATATGCCCTAGTATTCTGCCTTTATGATAAGAGAAGGGTGGGTTAATTATTATTTAAAGGGAATAATGAAGTTTATGAAAATAGTATAGAAACTTTTATTGCCTATTCATAAATAATTTCTAGAAGAACTCTCTGGGAGTGGCATTGACATATAGGTTACTTCAAAATGGATGCTTGAAAAATAATATGTTTTCTCTGAATTGATTTGCCATGAATTTGATTTTCTTACTTTCTACAACCATAGTGCCTATGAGATTATCAAGCTGAAAGGGTATACCTCTTGGGCTATTGGACTGTCTGTGACAGATCTGGCAGGATCAATTTTAAAAAATCTTAGGAGAGTGCATCCAGTTTCTACTATGGTTAAGGTAGGCTTAAATTGTCTCTTCATTTATCATCTTTTCTTTAATATTAGTTGAGTCCTTATGTGCCAGGCATATATACATTATACAGGCATTGAGGATATACTGGAGAACAAAAAAGGCCCTGACCTCATAAAGTTCAATTAAAGAAATGGACTTAATAAAATAATTATAAAAGTATATAATTACAAATTACAATAAGTGCTATGATGAAAAACTACCAACTACTTAAGAGTATACAAGAAGAAAATTTAACTACCCTGGGTAGAAGCATGGGTGATGGTAAGGGAAGACTTCCTAAGGAAGTAAAATGTGACCTATTCTGAATAATGAGTAGGAGTTAATTTGGAAGGTTGGACAGACAGAGGGAACACATGTACAGAGGAACAGAGGTAGAATTAAGTAGAGGGCACTTGTGGATCTGAATAAAAGGTCAGTTGTTGAAATGCAGAGAGTGAAGGGAAGTGCATGGTGAGGCTGAAGAAGTAAGCAAGGTTCAGCCACTGAAAGCCTTATAAAAGGATTTGGGTCCTTACCATAAGGGCTATGGAAAGCCAACAAAAGAACTTAAGCAAGGGGCTGGCAAGTTTTCATGTTAAAAATATTTCTATGGCTGTGACAGAGGAACAGATTTGAAAGGGACAAGAGTAGACATGTGAGAACTTGTCAAGAAGATGAGCAATAGTCCAGAATAGAAAGGATAGTAGTGGAGGTAAAGAGAAGGGGATGAATTTGAGAGACACTGTGTTTAGGAGGTAACATTTATAGGACTTGGTAATGGAATGAAGTGAGAAATAAGGAAATGAAACGTCATTGGTAGGTTTCTATTTTGCACGATTGTATAGGTAGTGATATCCACTGAGGAAGGGAATTCTCAAGGAGAATCAGGTTTAAAGATCATGTTTGCGGTTATGGACAAGTTGAATTTCATGTGCCTTTGCAATATCCGAGGGGAAATAGGCAGTTGGGTACAAGCTTCTGGAACTCGTAGAAGAGTTTTAGGTTGGAGTTCTAAGTGTGAGTCAGTTTGGAGAGAGACAGTTCCTGAAAGGGAAAAAGAAGTTCTGTCAACAACAACAACAACAACAACAACAAAGAGATGCTGGACAACTGCAGACAACAGATATCCCTTACACTTGGTAACAGCAGTTGGGAATTTTAATGAGCTTGCCTAAGGCGAGTATAATAAAATGAGAAGACAGACTGAGATTGAATCTTGAGGAATTCCGGTGTTGAAAGTTGAGTTTGTGGTGTGAGTCCACAAAGTGACTAAGAAGAGAAGCAGGCTCCTCACTGAGTCAGGAGCCCAATGTGGGGCTCGATCTCAGGACCCTGGGATCATGACCTGAGCCGAAGGCAGATGCTTAACTGACTGAGCCACCCAGGCGCCCCGTGACAAGTTATATTTTATAGGAAAACTTAAACATTTAACATTAAGAGCATAATCATTCATATACTCTTATATTTTTTTACCGCAATTACTTCAATTTTATTACTTCACATTTCAGCAAATAAATAAGGGTACACAAACAGTTTATGTCATATTAATATATTGCTGGATTTTTTTTAAATATATAGGGAATTCTTTTTAAATAGCCTTTCCTCATTTCATGGCCAGTCCAGGAGCAAATGAGAACCAATTTTAGTGTATTCAGGGGTCATACTGTCAACCAGGCATGACTCTTAAAGAAAAGAGGGGGCTGGGTAGCAGGTCATGGTCAGTACATAGGACCAGGCAGGGCCAAGCCCCAGGCGCCAGGACCCTTATTTCCAGCCCACCCAGCAGCCCCCAGATGGCATGATGTGATTGGATATACATTCTCCAATTCTAGTCCAAGAAGCCCCTTCTAGAAGACAGACAGAGGAAGCAGAGGGGAAACAAATTCCCCAAACACTAACAGGGAAGCAGAGGGGCTTCCTCCTCAGCCACAGTGGCCTTTTTTCTGATGCCACCCAATCCCTAGCAACTCATGCTGAAGCTCCAAAAGTTACACAGAGGCGGCAACAGAATGACCAAGGGCAGGAAAGGCAAGGCAAGGTGAGTGTAACTGGAGCTGGAGCCTGGCTGGGAATGGAGTGTGGGCTGCCAGTCTGGCAGGAATGTGGCCTTCCATGGCTAGGCAGAGACCAGAGTGGAGGGAATGTGAGTATAGGCTGGCAGGGGCCCTCAGAAGAAGACAGTGTGTGATGGCTGGTGTGATGGAGCTTTTGAGTTTGAATATAAAGTGCCTACCAAAATGAGGGAGCTGCACTGTGGTGGAGGGGTGGCCAGAGTCCCTCTTTGGGAGACTAGAGTGAAACAGGAGCAAGGGGCGCACCCTGAGATCCTGAGGAGAGCCCCAGAGATGGTGAGAGGGAAGCTTGGCTGAGTAGCTCCTGTGGGCTCCGAGCTGTTGCGGGAAGCCGGAAGGCAGCACTCCAGAGTCAAGGAGCCTCTTCTTTCCCTCCATGCTAGTTCCTGGTAACTGTTTAATTATAAGGAAGGAAGGAGGAAGAACAAGACCATCCCATTGCCTCCTCCAACCCTAGACTCAACCCCAGGGGTAGATAGGAAAGAGCAATGAGTGGTGGAAGGCAGGGAGGTGTGAGGGGCCTACCGGGTCTTATCTTCCAGGGGGTAGTAGGAAGGTGGCAGAAACTGGTTTGTGGGCATGTAGGCCTTGTGTTTCTTGCCCAGGTTGTAATCGGCTCTGGCAGCTGCTTCTGTGACCTTGGCTTCAGCTGCAGGAGTGGAGGGAACATCAGGGCTGCTGGCTGGAGACTCCAGGAGCCCAGAATAGGGTGGTGGCCATGGTTGCAACTATTCCATGTTCATCAAGGGAGGTCCTGGATGGAAGTCAGATGGAGTGGTGGATAGAAGTAGCCAGAAGGACAAGGGTACATTCCATTGGTAACTGTCAGGGGAAAGACAAAGGCCCTGCTAGGTATGTGAGAGTACCTATAGGCTCCATTGGAGGCTTCACCTTTGGAGGATTGAGATGTCACCTGTAGCATCTATTGTCCAACTCAATGGTGCCTCTTGGTGTAAAGGTCAACTTATACAAAGCAGTCTTCCCAGTCACTTCCTGCTTCAGCCTTCACTGTTCTCTTGATGTAGTTTATACCAAACACAGGCTGCTTGATTTTGCAGTCCTTTATCAGATAAAATGGCATCATGAAGGATTGGATGGCATCTTTTCTTTGGACAGAAAAATGGAACCAGTAAGGGGTAAAGTATGTGGTGCCTTTCTTGGTCCCTTTGAAGGCCTTTGGTATGTTCTTCATGTCCTTGAACACAAACTCTGCATAGACATAGGACATTAGGATCAGTATTAATTACTCTGCCCCGCCCCCTCTGATTCTAGTGAGCTCCATGGTCTCTCTGGTATCCTCTTATTCTGAAGCTCTCTTGCATAACTGCTTTTCTATATCAGGTTACTGAACAATAATCTAATTTTGCCTTTTAGGGCTTATATGGAATAAAAGAAGAAATCTTTCTCAGTATCCCTTGTGTCTTGGGGCGAAATGGTGTCTCAGATGTTGTGAAAGTTAACTTGAATTCGGAGGAGGAGGCCTTTTTTAAGAAGAGTGCGGACACACTCTGGAATGTCCAAAAAGAGCTGATATTTTAAAGCCTCTTAATGTTCCACTGTTTTATAGAACAGAAGATATCAGACTGTATATTTTACATTTTGAAAGTATTTTAATCTGATCTATAAAAAATAAAAACAATTGGGAGACCCTTGACATAATTTCAGTCCCGCAAGTCTTGGAAAAAGAAATGGTAAAGAGATTTCTCCTCTCTATGAATCTCTTATAGCACTGTTCTAATGAAACCCAACCTATACAGATGAAAGTTTTACTTCTGAGGTATGTCATATGTAAGAGTTGCCTTCAAGTTTAGTAGAGTATGTATAACAACCCATTATAATGTAAAACTTACGATTTTTCTCACAAAACAACCAGCACTCTTTCTAGTGTCAAAATTTCATTCTTCTATTAGGGCACAGGCATATTTACTTTATACTGCTTCATTAGCTTCATGTGTCTATGTATGATCTTTACTAAGTACTTATCTTTAAGACCATGTATATCAGAAGGAAACAGAAATAAAACTTTTATGGTATAAAAAAATTAAATGAAATGTCTTCAAACCTGTAAGCATTATTCCAAATCACATAAACCCAAATAGTTGATTTGGTGTCTCTGTTGAAATGCCACACAGGAAGCTTAGACTATTCTGTAGGTCATCTGTTGAGCAAACTAGGGCTATGCTTGCTGTGTTATGGTTATGAGGTCAATATGACATGATTTATGCCCTCGAGTATCTCACAGTATTTAGGGTGCCTCAACTAATTGATTCTTTTTTTCTTTTTTTTTTTTAAGATTTTATTTATTTGACAGAGAGAGACACAGCGAGAGAGGAAACACAAGCAGGGGGAGAGGGAGAGGGAGAAGCAGGCCTCCCGCAGAGCAGGGAGCCCGACGTGGGGCTCGATCCCGGGACCCTGGGACCATGACCTCAGACGCTTAACGACTGAGCCACCCAGGCGCCCCCAACTAATTGATTATTGACATGCATGTATATGAGTGCATATATGTACTTCTGATCTATATGTACATATAGAACAGATATATATGAAATATTTCCTTGATTTCACAATTTAAGGCAGTTATGGGAAATACACAATTAAAGCTAAGAAATCAGGACCAAAATGATGTATAACAGACTAGGACAGGACTAGTGAGAAGAATTAGAAGACAGATGTGCAGGTCCTGAGGACTTACATGGCTCTAGTGGAGGTGCACTCATTGGGCAGAGAGTCACAGTTCATACTCTTATTCTTGCAATCTAAATAGTGTTCATTCTAGTCCTCTCCTGCTGAACATGATTAGTTTCCCATTATTCTTTTCTTTTTCCTTGTTTCAGCTCTTCTCTTGAACGCACAAAACAGGATCATGAGAGAGTTTAGTTAGCATAGCAGGGGTGGGGGGGTCTAATGTGGATTTTGCCTTTTTTTTTTTTAAAAAAGCTGTTCTTTGTACACCAAATTAAAACTTCATTTTAGGAAATCCTTGCAGATATTGAAAGGGTACAAAATATAGTTTCTACAAGGAATATTTTAGGAAGTAAAACTGCTCTAATGGTGTATTCTCAACAGGGGGCACTATCACCCCCAAGAGTGTAAAATTGGTTATGGGGGCGGTTGGGGGAAAATATTAGATATTACAAGAGTTTCACTCCCTAAAGTTCAACCCTACCAGATGAAATCTTATTCTTTTTTTTTTTTTTTCAGATTTTATTTTTAAGTAATCTCTACACCCAGCATGGGCCCGAACTCACAATCCTGAGATCAAGAGTTGCTTGCTCCATGGACTGAGCTAGCCAGCCGCCCCTCTTGTTCTTTAATATTTAATTTCATGTTGGGGGTGGGAGGAGCTGAACGATCGGCAGAGAAAGTCTAAAAAGGCCCTTGAGGGAGAGATAATGAAAAAAGTTTGAGAAACACTGCTCTATTTCTTCTAAAAGAATTTGTCAGAGATGTGTTACGTATTATGATTTACAAATGAGTTAGAAAACAATTAGGTAGAACGTGGTGGGACAAGAGAACTAGCAACCTTGGTGTATCCCAAAGGATAAGAGGGGAATTTTGGATTCTGCGTTTAGCTACTTCGTAAATAATGAGTTAAACTTTCCCATCCACTAATGGAAATGGTTATCAGCCCCGCACTGATCAAATTCTTAGGATTTCATATCTTATTTAAAAATCCCCTTTGCATAGAGGGTTTTTAAAATTTTTACTCTCTCTGCTTTAGCTCACATTTGTGGGTGGTTAAAAGTAGCATGCAGATCTCTTTCTCCAGCAGCTCTGGGGAAAAGTTCCCAAGAAAGAGTCAAAAAGCCCTTATTGGATACATCCAGACAAGGTTTGGTTGGAAATAAATTTACTCGGGCTCTCCAGTGGATGAGTTCTGGGCAAGCAGTACTCGGTTTGATAGCTGAGACTCTCTAGTTCATTGTTGTTTTTTTTTAAAGATTTCATTTATTTATTTGAGAGAGAATGAGAGAGAGAGAGAGCATGAGGGGGTGGGAGGGTCAGAGGGAGAAGCAGACTCCCCACTGAGCAGGGAGCCCCATGCAGGACTCGATTCTGGGACTCCAGGATCATGACCTGAACCGAAGGCAGTCGCTCGCTCAACCAACTGAGCCACCCAGGTGCCCCTCTCTAGTTCATTGTTATCTTTTGCACCTCGAGCTCTTGGAACCCAGGAGCCCAAGGAGCCTCCCTGAAGCCCGCCAACTACAGAAACCTCAGCCCTCCGCTGGTGCAGGTGACGAGTAGCCGGCGCAGGGGCAGGTGCAGTACATCAGAGCCCGCCTCCTGGCGGGTCCTCTGCTCCAGGTGTGCGAAGACCCCACGAGGGCCGCACGAGCTGGGCGGGGCCTTGCGCAGCCTCAATAGCCAACGGTTTCCCCCCTTGCAGCCTCCAACAGTTCTGCCGTTTTCCTCCCTTCTTTTCGTCTCCCTCCTGAGAGGGTGGCCATGTACTGGGCTGCTGGAGTCCTGCAGACCAGCTGGAGCGTGGGCACCGCGGGAGCGAATTTCTTTTGCCTGAGGATGACTCTGTGTCCCTTGCAGACCCGCACGCATCCCCGTCAGGGGTGGCTGCCCCTTCACCCGTGTGAGTGTGGCCGGAAGTACCGCGTGCCTGGCAGTCTTGGGCCCGAGCTCAGTCCTGGAGCTGAGAGCTGGGCTAGGGGGTGGGGAGGGGAGGAAGAGGTATTCTGACTGTCGTATCATTTTTGGTGGAGCAGCCCCTTTGCCTTCACTCCTTCTTAATTCCTCTTATACCACCCTTCTCCTCACTCTCCCACCCTCTTGGTTTGCCTCCTGGGTGTTGGGGTGCTGGCCAGAAACCACCCAGCTTCTTTGCCAGCCACTTTTGTCGTTCCCTGTTGGGTCTACAGCACCTCTCTCCCCACTGGGACCCAGGAGTTCTCTATGAGGCCTCTCTCACTGTAGGCCAATTCCGAATCTGGAAGTGGCTTCGCAGTTTTTCCTCACTCTGTTAGGTTTCTAAGATGGCGACTGTCAAGGGTGAACTTACTAAGAATTTCACCTCAGAGGAGGCTGCTCATCACAATAAAATCTCCATTATAGGAACTGGAGCCGTTGGTGTGGCCTGTGCAATCAGCATCTTATTGAAAGTAAGTTATGTGCTCTCTGCCATAGGGTTAACGAAGTTTCCCTCCTTTGGATGTAAGGCTACTGCATGTGGTTGTGCAGGTTGTATCCAGTTAAAGGGGTGAATGGGGGGCCTATCCAGTCCCTGCTGGTTTAGTCCAGAGGAAAAGGTGCACTTTTCTAATTGTTTCACCCAGAGTGCACTGCTTTTTCTAGTTTTTATGATGGTATCCTGTGTGTTAGAATGTTGACACCTTTCACTTTGGCTCATGCGATGACAGTATGAAGTACCCCTTCACTTGACTGGGAAACAGCTCACACACACACACACACACACACACACACACAATGAAGAAATAGATGGCAGAAAAGAAGTGTACAACCTGTCCGTTGTGGTGGGTGTCCTACTAGTACCAAATACAATAATCTTTTTCCTTTAAAAATCTCTCTCCTATTTCCTAGTCTTTATCTTTATTTCCCTTCTTCCTTATCCAAGTGGGGTTAGTTTTAGTGTTTAGTTCTTAGTATTGATGTGGCAGATAAAGTTAGCTTCCAGTTAAATGGCTAGACAAAGGACTAAAAAGATTCTGACCCCTTTCTAAGAACATTACCCTGGTTTGAATCCATAATGTTTTAGTAAATAATATAAACTCTTGGAGCTATGCTTTGCTTTTATTAATGGAATATCTATAAAATTTCCTTAAGCTACCTTTCTATAGCCTTTAATCCTGGCATGATTATTGGATTTAAAGGATTGGCCCTGGGTTTCATCTAGATGATGTAAGTGTCCTTAAGGCACTAAGAACGTCAGCCTCTGTCAACTGCTGCTCCTAGCAATCATACGAATTCCCAATGACTCATTTTGTCCTATCAGCTATAATGCCTTTATCAGCAGTGTCATCATTGCTAATGAAGAATACAGGTACATGAAAACCAATGTATTTGTTGTCAACATCAATAATAAAACAATATACTTTATATATGTTATCCAATAAAATCCCAAAAAGTAATTATTAGGTCTGTTTTACAGAAGGAGAAAAAAAGGCAGGTTGCATGAATAGGTAAGTATAGAGATAATATGTACAGAAAACCTTGAAGTAGAAGATTTCTTTACTATCTTGCTTTGATAGGGAGGGATTGGGCCCTATCCATAAAAAGAAAGTAATAGCCACAAGCTCCCAGAACTTGAATTCTCTGATGCTGACAACTATAGCATTTGTATGCCTTAGAAAATGTGGTGCATTTTCTACAAAGTCCCAGGTTAAGGCTCACTTTGATCTCTTCCTCTCCTGGCCCTAGCCTTGGCAACTTCTTTCATTCAAGGAGGTGGTGATACTTTTTTTTTTTTTTTTAAGATTTATTTATTTATTTGAGAGCGAGAGAGTGTGTAAGAGTGTGAGCGGGGGGGGGAGGGGCAGAAGCAGAGGGAGAGAGAGAATCCCAACGCGGAGGGCGGAGCCCGACTCAGGGCTCCATCCCAGGACCCTGAGATCATAACCAGAACCCAAATCAAGATTCAGGTGCTCAACCAACTGAGCCACCCAGGCGCCCCAAGG